CGTTGCCTCCAGAATGCTAAGCCCGCCGCTGACAAACAACAGAGCGGAGCTGATGGCGGTTACCTGGGCCCTGGAGAAGGCGCCCAAGAACCGCCCGATAATAGTGAAAACCGACTCACAGTACGTGATGACCGGGGCCACCTCAACGCACGGGCATTGGGAAGACCTGGGCTGGCTGGGAGTGCCAAACGGCGACCTCTGGCAAAAAACCGTGTACCTGATCCGATCGAGGACAGCAGAGACGACGTTCGAAAAAGTGAAAGCTCACTCGGGCGTCCACGGCAACGAAAGGGCTGACGAACTCGCTAAGAGCGGGGCCGAAAGCGATGAAGCGGACCACCCGAGCCTGGTGGTACCGCCCCAGTGGCAGATGTCGGGCGCCAAACTGGCGTCCCTGACGTACAGCCAGACGTACGCTTGGGTAAGGGAGAGCACTCCCAGAACCAAGCACACGAGAGCGCCCGAGAACCTGGGGAGGATTCGGGAGTTTCTCATAGAAGAGCACGGGATAGTCGTGACCGACGCCCAGATATGGCTCAGTTTAAGAAAACCCTCCATACGTAGGGAAATCTCAGACTTCCTGTGGATTGCGATCCACGGGAGAACCCAGTGCGGCACCATGTTCTCTAAGTGGGGCCCGCAATGGGAAGAAAAACAATACTGCTCGAACTGTGGCTCGATCGAGTCACTAGAGCACATCCTAACCCAGTGCGACAACGCAATGTGGAGAAGGAGGCTGTGGCAAGAGGCGAAAGACCTGATCTCAAGGTCCTCCCTCATCCCGGCAAACCTAAGAATCGTCCCGAGCTTCCCAGAAATCCTGGGGCTGGCAGTCCTACCCGCTGGTAACACAGCAGGAACAAGACTATGGGCGACGATCATCAGCGAAACGGCCTTCACGGTCTGGAAACTGAGGAACAGGGCTAGGTTCGACGAGATCCGAATCAGCCAGAGGATGGCCCTGGACATGTGGCGCACAGCCCTAGAAACCAGAGCCAAGTTGGACTTCACAGTCGCCAGACTGAGAGGACCAACGACTGCATCGAGAGCCTTACGAGCTTCCGAAGCAGTAGCCGCATGGGAGAGCGTCTGCTCTTACCGGGACGGCGCTATTATTTGGGATTCCGCGGATTATGGGTAGATGGCTTGCTCCTTGTGGGCGAGCGCCAAAGTCCCCTCTGAGGATGGCAGGAGCGGGGTGCGGGGGACGCAGCCACCGTAAAGCCGCCGAGGAGCTGTACCTGAAGCGCACGTAGCAACCTGAAAGAACGTAGGGCCGGCTAGTCCGGGCTCCCAAAGGTTCTGAAGGATTCATCTCCGGGGGCTCACGTCCCCGAGACCGCTAGCCTGGCTAGCGGGCGGATGTCGTCTAGCTCATAACCTGGCGAGCCGCAAGGCGGACCGGAGAGCAAAAGCGTGGAATTCCGGGGGGTCTTTTTAGCGGGTAGTTACCGGGGGCAGGAGGAGAGGCCCAGTAGATCCCCGCACTGTTCGGCCC